AAGCAGTCAAGATCATTTTTGGCTGTGTTTTTGTTTTTTTGGGGGTGGGGTACGGGGAGTCAAACTGAGGACCTTGTGCTTGCCAGTCAGGCGCTTATGCTGCTGAGCTATATCCCTGGCAATTTTTGGCTCTTTTGAGAAGGAACTTCCCTATGCAAAATGCTTGGCAAATAGGATGGATTTTTTTTGTTCTTGATAATTAATAGAAAATAGCAACATACATTTTACACAAAGGAGTAATATGACCCATGTCGTGTTGCGGGAAGGCCTACACGGGAGCAGATGGATTGTAGGAGGCGGAGGAAGTGGTGAGAACGCTAGTACAGGATGTTCACGTGTCTGCCCACTCCCCTGTCCTACTGCGGCGCACAGCCCCTCCAGGAGTGAAGGGCAGTAAGTGTTGGTTGAGTCATAAATAAACACATCATACAATGAAAGCACCAGGGGCATTGTCCGTGCAAGCAATACGCTCTGAGAGGCTGAGAGGGGTGTTCATTCACCGGAGTTGGGGGAGGAAACTTTTAAGGTCTCCACGGTCTGAGAGATGGGGCACAGGGTGGGATTGGAAAGAGTATCATATTCAGTGTCTGGGCCTCTGCTGAGTGCTAGCTGAAGTGAAAAGGGGCAACTTCCAGGCCTGAGGGCTGAGGGCATCCAGGGAATAGGAGCACCTCAGGGACTCAGCTTAGCATCACCATTCTGGCTGGGCAACTGCCTATCCCCTGGTGTGAAAGTTCAGGGACTTTAGCATTTCATCCTCCCAGTGGACATGTTTTAAGTTGGGGACCACAGCCAGGCCTTGTACATACTGTGTAAGTGCTCTGTCATTGAGCTACACCTTAGTTCCCCCATCAGCTTTTTAGGAATCCTGTGTTCGTCCTTGGTTGGCCCCTGCTTTCTCTTTTTCCCTTTTCCTTCCTTTCCCCTTCTGACCCTCAGCTGCTTCCCTTTCAGGGGATGGTTCCTCTCAGGTTAACAGGATCAAAAAGCATCAATCACTTAATCACCCTGATCAGCTACTTCATATTACGGATAAGATACCCTCCTCTGTTTTTCTGACTCAAGGTTAAAATATTCTGTTTTCTACCAAAGCCCATCTAATCCCTCTGCCTGTGCTGATAATTCCTCCATCCATTCATTCACTTTTTTCACTTCACTATTCACTGACAACTCTTTATGTGAACACAGGCACTATTCTAACCCTAGGAGACACAATGGAGATGAAATGGAGTATCCAGCCTCTCAAACAGCGGACGTTATAGAACGAGAGGTAGAAAATAAGTGGTGAACAAATAAACTGGCTTTTCTTCAGAGTTTTAAGTTCCTATGATTTGAATGTGTCCCCAAAAGTTCATGTTTTGGAAACTTAATCCCCAAAGTCATATACTAATACTATCTGAAGGTAGTGTCTTTGGGAGGTAATTAGGATTAGATGCGGTCCTATGGGTGGGTTTCCCATGATTACATTAGTGGCTTTATAATAATGAGAAACCCTCACAGTTGCCCTACTTTATTTCATCATATAATACCCTTTGCCAAGTTATGATACAGCAAGATGACCCTTGCCAGATTTCAACAGAATACTTGTATCATGCTCTTGGACTTCCCTATGTCCAGAACCATGAGCTAAATAAACCTCTATTTTTTATAAATTATCCAGCCTCTAGCATTTACTATAGTAACAGAAAATGGACTAAGACATTAGTGCTCTGAAAAAAAAAAAAACAAAAAACAAGTTGAGTAATAAGTATTCGCAAACTTCTCAGGTTTTCTCTCTCAATATATTTCATACCAGCCATTCAATTGAGCTAAGCCTAAAACTTGGGAAATATCCTGCCATTTGTCCTTTAAATTATGAGGTATCAAACCATGTGGATTCCAACTATAATGACTCTCAAGTCCACCTCCCAGGACACTTAATTTCAACTCCATTACTTGCCCAAATTACTATAGTATTCTCCTATACCTGGTCTCTTCCCTCTGCTTTTGCCTTCTTCCTTTACATTATGCCTCTGCTTAGAATAATTCAATGGTTCTATATAGCTTTTCCAGTCAATCTGGGTCCACATATTTTCAGACCTACACATTAGAATGCTGCCCAGCCTTGCGCCTTTATATGTGGTGTCTGTACTTGAAGGGTCCTCTGCTTGCTATTTTCCAATTCCCTTGGTCAGGTCAACTGTTACTAAATTTAGCAAGACCTTTCTTTTTATAATGACCCATGGAGTTAATAAAACAATTATATTCAGAAGAGATGTAAAACCTTTAGTACAATGATAGTTCTCGGTTATTGCCTTCTTTCCCTGGTGGAATTTCTTGAATTTGGAGCAGACATAATCTGCATATAAATAAAGTCTTCCTATTTGCAGGGCAACCATTTCAGAATGCGGACTCTGAGGGAGAGTCTTGTCTCCCTCATTTTTTTTTAATGAAATGGACTCATGTTCAGGAAAATTTTCTTCTCATTTGTGTGTTTATTGCTTGATACTTTTGGTTTAATTTCAGCTACTAGACATTATTCTTAATGGCCTGGGAGTGATTCTGATGGACCATAATATTGGAGACAAATTCCCTGGATATTACCATCTCAGAAAGCAGAGCAATAATCACGCAATTCCCACCTCTGAGGGCAAGCTGTTGCCATTTCCAGTTTCAGATTGTTTAGCACATTGGGAGGTACTCTCTATTTTCTGAGCACTGGATAAAGAATCCACCAATCTCTCACTTCCCTGGAAGATCTGAGACCACCAAACTAAGATCAGGAGGAGACCTCCTAGACTGATGTCTGACTTTGTAGCCCTGACTTTAGGTGTCCTTAGAAACTCCCTGTGAAAGGAAAAACAACTTGATACCTGGTTTTTCCCCTAGCACATGCTCACTAAAGCACACCTCTGGTTCTTACTCATGGCTTGATTATACTCCCTGGCCACACCAAGTGTGCAGTTTCCTGAGTGCCACAGTTCCTAGAAGGGATGGCAAAGGATGCAGTTCTTACTTGCATTCAGCAGAGTTCGGATCTTCTTTTCTTCTTCAGCTTCTTGAAGTAGCATTTCTGCCAGCCTCTTCTCCTCTGACTCCATGCACATGTCAGCCTCTCGAAGGTATTCCAGATAGTCAATCTCCCGCTGGGCACGTTCCACTCTCAGTGCCAGGTTGTTTACTGCACTCTTATATTCACTTGTGTAGGTATGGCATCTTCCCAGCATAACAGATATGTTTTTTGAGAATTCTCGGAAGTCTTGAATGTAAGCCCTCGTTGCTTCGGTACATTTTTCCAGTCCTTGCTTCAGTTGGAAAATAAATTTACCAAATTATTGTTGGTTTTTTACATTATCTAAATAATAAAAACAGCTATCATTCATAGAAAAAGATTAGAAAACTATAAATAATCATAAAGGGAAAAATAAAAATCACCCACAATCTTAAATTCAAAGGGACTATTGATGATTTTGCATACAAATTTTGAAAAATTTTCTCATGTATTTAGTGATATATATATATATAATTTTAATGTGCTTTTTTAGGAGTGGGGATGTAGCTCCGTGGTAGACTCTGACTAGCATGGATTAGGCTTTGGGTCTGATCCCTAGGACTACAAAAAAGTAAGTAAAATAAAATGAAATTTTATTATATATGTGTTTTGTAATGTATTTTCAACTTGCTGATATCTTGTCAGCATATTTTAATGCCAATGCCCATGCCAAAAGTTTTGGCACTGATAGGTTCTTTTTTTAACCTTAAAATTATATTAGCCATGTGATCATGGTAGCACACCCCTGTAAACCCAGCACTCTAGGAGGCTGAGGCAGAAAGATCTAAATTTGAGACTAGCCTGGGCAACTTAGCAACTTTAGGAGACCTTGTCTCAAAATAAAAAAACATATTTTTTAATATACCCATCTATACCTATTTTTACAAATGATGTTTTGATATATGTTTACATTCTGGGATGGCTAAATCAAGCCAATTAACATATTGCAACCCACATACTAGCTTTGTGTGGTAAGAAGAATTAAAACGTACAGTCTTGGGGCTGGGGATTTAGCTCAGTGGCAAAAGCGCCTGCCTGGCATGCGCAAGGTCGTGAGTTCTGTTCCCGGTACCAGAAAAAAACCAAAAACAAACAAACAAAAAAAAAGTACAGTCTTAACAATTTTCAGATATACAATATATTGTTACTAACCCAGATCACTGTGGAGTACAGTAGAGCACTGGAACTCATTCTAACTGGAAAATTGTGTCCTGAGACCAACCTCTCCCAGTTGCCCTTGCCCTGCAGACTTTAATAACCACCACTCCACTGTTTCTATGAGTTCAACATTTTAGATTCCAGATATAAATGAAATCACTCAATATGTGTCTTTCTGTGTATGGTTTATTTTACTTAGCATAATTTTCGGTAAGTTCATCTGTGTTGTCTCAAATGACCATCTTTGATGCTGAATGGCATTCCATTGTGTATACATACACATATATGTATAAATTTGTTTGCCCATCTTTAACATAATTTTAATAAGACACAGCATACTTCATTGAATTGTTATCCCATTTACTTATTCTGTTGGATTGCATTGGGCTGACATTTATAATAGCTTTCAAATTTTGTCATTCAAAGAATGCTAAGAAAACAATCTTTGTATTTACATTTTCATGTACTTAGCTGACTCTTTTCTTAGGACAGACTTCCAGAAGTAAGGCCCTTCCCGAGGACCTGGCACAGGGCCTAGCATATAGTAATACTCAATAAATATTTGTTGAATCAAAGAATATATGAATGGAAATGGGATTGCTGGGCCAAGAAGTATGAGTAGTTAAAGCTCATTTGGCACAGTTTCCCAGGATGCTTTTCACAAGTGAACACATTTATGCTCCAAAAAGGAATTCTGTGTGTAAGAGACTGGGTTTTGAGGGGAAAGAGACTGAGACAGAGAGACAGAGCAAGAAGTAAAGATAGAAAGAGGGAAATAGGGAAAGAGAGAGACAGAGAAAGGGGAAAGTTCTCTAAATCCATTTCCTTTTTGTTTTGCTTTTGTTTTTCTCACCCCTCTGACCCACCCTTCCCTGGCTGGGAATTACATCACTTGGTTGCTAAGAGTGTGCTTTGGTCAATAGTGCCTGCTGCGTGAGACTGGGCTTCAAGGTCATGGGAAGACCAGGGTGGGAAGATCTACACAGATCATATCATCTGAATGTGAATTTCAAATTTACATTCAGAGGTATGAAAGTGTTAGTATGTATATTATACCCTTGTCTTCAGACAAACTCAAAGAAATAGACACTAATTTATAGAAATTTTGGTTGGCTCTAATGCCAGGGCAAGTTGGTGCTAAATGCTGAGTATAATTCTGGTGCTCTTAAAAAGGTGAGATTGAAGGGGAGGTGTCCAGGAGAGAGCAAGTAAAGAAGCAGCCAGAAGTAACTGACCTGGGAACATTTCATCTTTAGGCCTCTGAGTCTCAGTCTGCTGACTGGACAATGTTAAGAAATGAGTTCAGAGTGCTCTATGGAGTTATTTTACCCTGACTGTAACAAGACAACCAAATAATTTGTACTTGAAGATTTTCCCAAAAAATAAATCTTGGAGACAAAAGTGTCTATGAAAGAAGATAAATAATATTAATTTAACTTGTACAAAAGCAAGATATTAGCCAGGTGCAATGGTACATACCTGTCATTTTAGCATTCTGGGAGGCTGAGGCAGGAGGATTAGAAGTTTGAGCCTAACCCTGGTAAATCAGAGACTTAGTGAGACCCTGTCTCAAAATAAATAAATACATGGGGCTGGGAATGTAACTCAATGCAGAGGTCTTGGGTTCAATTCACAGCATGTGTGGTGGCAGGGAGAGAGGGCAAGTATTAAATATGAAATAGTGTTTTTCAGTGCTGGGGGGTGTTAAAGACCAAGGCAGAACGTTGGTTACATGCAATTGCCCTTGAGAGCCTAGTTGACCTACAAAAGTACTGGGTCTTGCCAGTTTTAGCGAGGTGGAAGCGTCAGTACTTTCTGTTTAACGTTTCTTAAATCTGCTCATTTCAAAGTATAGTACAAGTTCAGGTAAGGCAAAAAAAAAAAAACAGATAAGACTCAATGTACTAGCATTACTTTTTGTACTGCTCTAAAGGTTTACTATGAAAAGATAAAAAGAAAAATCTAAAATCAGTTATTCCAATGCAATAAAGCATTAAGGAAAAATGACCAAGATTTTTAATTTTTATATTAAGGAAAATAAGCTATTGAACTTGGGTTGTCCAGCATTTTACACATTTACCCACCAGAGCAGGCAATGCTCTAAAGTACAGATGAATGACTCCCACAAACTGTCCTCAGCTTCTCAGAGTTGGAATTTCTTTATTAAATATCCAGAATAATCATGGGAGGTAAATTCCATGACTATCTCCATTTATAGATGAGAAAAACTTCCAGATAAGAGTACAGAGTGAAGCCATGCTCAAGGTCTGGGAATGGAGCAGAGTAGATTCTGATGTAGGGGCCTTAAACTGCTAGTTTATACATATTTGTAAGTATGAATTTAGCAATGAACTTAGGATGTCTTAGCTGGAAAATATATGTTAAAAGGACAAGGAAGTGTGGGTAAATGAGATGTTTTCCAAGCTGGGCGTGGTAGCAGAAGCCTGTAATCCCAGCACTTGGGAGGCTGAGGCAGAAGGATCACCACAAATTTGAGGCCAGCCTGAGCCATTTAGGGAGTTCAAATCCAGCCTGAACTACATAGTGAGACCTGGTTTTTTAAAAAAAGGTGATGTTTGGGAGGCACGCTCCCCATGTCAGACAGCCCAGGTGTCACCTACCTCCAAGACTCGAAAGCGCTGGTAGATGTAATGCACCATGCCTGGGTCCTGGGCGTACTGTGGTAGGGGCAGAAATGCTGCAAGGAACAGACCGAGCAGAGCGGAAGCTCTGCGAAGGGCCACCACCATCCTGCAGACTCTCCAGGAGTGCAGTCTCTTGTGCTGTGGTTCTCAAAGAAGACTCAGGGGTCCAGGTGATAATATCTTCTTCTCTGTTGCTGTAACAAGTCCTTGAAAAACACTGTTTTACGGAGAGCAAAGTCCTTTTGTTATTCCACCCAATGCATGATCTCAGTTTGCAAGCTGGTGATCAAGTCCAGCTGTTGGCCGGGCAGTCTCTGGAGGCCTTGAACACTTACTTGGTGCAGGGAGCTTCCGGGGTCCAGCATCTGTCGCCCTCACCTTTGCCGTGTGCAGACCCTCTCTAGGCTAGTGTCGGTGTTCTGCTTCTAGGCCTAGGGTGTGGGTATGGGGGGCGGTGAGGTCTTTTCTCCCCTCCTTTATTTCCCCCCAGTTCTTTCCTTTTTACTTTTGCTTTCCTCCTCCCTAATAGACTCTACAGTCCAATCACAGGCCTGACCAGCACAAACCACCCCCAACTTCCCAGAGTTAGAATCTCAGTGCAGTTTCTGGCAAGAATTTCCAGGATCTTTTTGCCAGAAGTTCTACTGAGAGACCCCACCTCTCCAGACTTCCTTTGCATTCCTGCAGCTCTTAAAGGCACAGCAAGGGAAACGGACATGATTTACCCATATTTCTGCAAAACCAGTGCGCAGGACAGCATTGCTCTGCAGGCCGAGAGGTACAATTGTCTACAGCCCTCACGGCCCAGGCTGATAGCTGAAAAATCTTGGGACTGAGCTCAGGAAAATTTTCTCATGAGAAACAGGAGTTATGGATTCAGTGGTACTTCCAGAGCCAAATCACAAGGATATGAAATTCCTTTGCAAGGAAGTGCTAGTGTTTTCTCAGTCACAGTGTCAGAATTCCTTTTACATAGCTACAGGCGAGAAATACACAGGACTCAACTCTCTCGATTCCCTTAACAATTGAAAATAAACCATATCTCTGGAGCAAAGTGGTAAAATTTCCCACTTTTACCTTTGTGGTACAGGCTTCTACTTATTTCAACCTCTTCTTCTGTGAGTGGGTCCAGGACTTTTCATGTTCTTTCTCAATCACCTATTAAAGTGGGGAACATTGGGGTATGGATGGGGTATAGACAAACCTGTGTCCATGAGTCAGAAAACCTGGGTTTGTTTTGGTCCCTGCAAGAGATGCTAAAAGTTTGAGAATTTTTTTCACTGTTGGTCCTTGTCCCCAGCAGGTATTCCTTCCCATTCCTTTTTTTCTTTTTCTTTTTCTTTTCTTTTTTTTTTTTGAGACAAGGTCTATGTAGTTCAGGCTGTCCTTGAACTCACTATGTATCCCAGGCTGGCCTCAAACTCACAGTGGTCTTCCTGCCTCAACCTCTGGAGTGCTGGGATCATAGGCTTATGCCACCGTGCCAGGTAGGCAGCCCGTCTTTTTTGATATGCTCAGTCCCCCACTTTGGTAGAACGCCAAACAATAGTTCCTGGTATTTAAAAACAACTCCTCCTTTTTTTTTTTTTTTTTCTTTTTGAGATAGGATTTCACTATTCAGTTCAGGCTGGCCTGAGAGAGAAGCTTTGTTGCCCAGGCTGGCCTCAACTCACAGTGATCCTCCTGCCTCAGCCTCTTAAGTGCTAGGATTACAAGCATGCACCACCACACTTGACCTCTTATTTCTAAGAGCTATCTTTGAACTATTCCCTAAGATAGTTGCACTTTAGGTGACCTTGTCTCCTAAATCTTTATTTTAAAATCTCTGCCTGACTCAGGCTCAAAATGAGAACGCTCTCTCAAACTTCCCATGCTTGGTATTTTTTAATAAAGTCTTGTTCAAAAGGGGCTCTAGTGATTTTCTTCCAAGAATGCCTCAACTCCTAATTTGGAGAATATGAACCAAGAAGGAAAAGATTCAATGGAGGAAAATTCTGAATGTATTACGATTAACATTTGGGTGGTGTCATTGTGGGTACTCCTTTCCTTAGCTTCCATAACGTCTTTCATTATTTTCATGATGAAATCCACGCTCAGTGTATATTACTGGACAGTCAGTGAGGAGAGAATGTGGTGAGAGGCCTCAGGTACAGCGCAAGTCAGGAGGCTGCTGCCAGGGCTGCTGTTGCCCCTGTCTCACCGGGGTGGGCTTAACGGGCTTGGCTTAGCTGTGGCGTAGACTTCCCTCCCACCTCCAGTGATTTGGGCCATGCACCACTCTCTCTGTGGTCATCACCTTCACAAGGACAAGGCTGGCCTCTGACTGACCATGCCTTGTCTGGTTTGGAGAGCTTTACCCTTACACTCCTAAACAGAAGAAGCAAATCCCACAGTTGGCACTCTTTGCTCACTGGGCTGGATGAGCCACAGGACAAATTTATAGCTCCATGGAACCTCTCATGTTCTTATGACCACAGGTTTCACAAATCAAAAACAAACTCACTTGAGAGAGAGTCCCAGCTGTGCTATATGCTGGCCAGCTGTGGTCATCTTTATTCAGAGTGGCCCAACTCTATGGGTGTTGTGTTGGTAAGGATGAGAGAGATGACTTCCAGCAGCTTAACCACAGTTGGGATAAGCCCAATCACTTTGATCCGTTGTCTTTTATTGTATTTATTCTCTGGCCTTGATCACAACTCTAAGTGCCCTGGTGAGGACAGTGGTTAATCCTGTGCACCTGGTCATTCTGCTTTCCTGCTGAGTCTCCTGAGAGAGAAGCTTTAGCCCTTTGTCTGAGTTACTTTCCTCATCACTCATCAGGCACAATACCCAACACCCACAATTTAAAGGAGGAGAAGTTTATTTAGGCTTAAAATTTCAGTCCACAGTTGGCCAGTTCAGAGGCAGAACAGCATGGCAGAGGAGCCTGGGTAGAGGAAAGCTGCTTGTATTACTGTGGTCAGGAAGAGAAAGAGAAGGAAGGAGCCAGGGAGCAAGATACAGCCTTCTAGGTTACATGCGCAGATTCGCGTCTTCCAACCAGACCCAGCTCCCCAACAGTAAGTCAGCTCTACCCACTACGATCAGTCACCTTCCAAAGGCCCCTCCTGAGCAAGTGAGACTTTGGGGGACAGTCTTGATCTAAACCATCCTACTATTCAATACCCACCACACTTTCCTCAATATGGTCAGATCCAGGCTGCTAGTCCTTGATCTCCAAGCCGAGCTTTGAGGAGCTGACTATTTTCTCCAAGTCCCTGAGGCTAGTATTGCCAAGATCTTCAGCTCCTCTTGGGATTCTTTGCCATTGTCATTACTGGTGGCTTTTTGGACTCTCTTCCCGTATTAACTGACCACCTGATTTCTCGAGTCTTCTCTCCCAGCACCCTCCACTCTCGTGGGAGGTGCTACCCAGCTGTGAGGAAGTCTGAGGAGATTCTGCCTTCTGTTGGGAAAGCAGAGCCCAGCCTCACAGAATCTCACCTGGGGAATCTAGAACTCACCGTGCAGATACAAACACGATGTCTCCTTTTTCATCTCTCCTTTTCCCCCTCTCTTTTCTTCCAGCTTTTCCCTTTAATTTTGTACTAATCATTCCTGTGCCCCACTCATACCTAGTAGCTGTTTGCCTTGTGTCACCCTCAAATCTTTCAAATTTTACAGGAAACCACATTGTTTTCTGCATGAGTGGTTGCAGCAGGCTCTAAATAAATTCCCAGTGTGCTTCTCTAGATAAAGCATTGGATGATTTTATGCCATAAAAAAATTGTTTTTGGAGACAGGGTCTAGCTATGTAGTTCAGACTGGCCCTAACCTCACTATGTAGCCTAGGCTGGCTTTGAACTCATGTGATCCTTCTGCCTTAGCCTTTCAAGTGCTAAATTACAGGCATGTGTCGCCACGGCTGGCAATGCCAAAATTAAAGCTCTTCATAATGTAACTTTAGCCAATTGTACTTGCTTTAATTCTTAATGTTGCCTACATCTATCCTTCATAAGAGCTACATCTAATTGCCCCCAAACTCAGGAAATTTAATGTGGTAATTTTACTTATAGGGATCATACAGTCTCCATTTCTCCCTTTGTAACTAGAGAATTCTTTCTACTAACCCTTCACCCCCAGCTTGGGTAGAATAACCCCCGTGGGGATCCTCCTGCTTGTCTCCATAATGTGTTGAGGTCTGCAACTTGGTGAGAAGATCTACCCAGACATTGGTGCTCTGGGGGAGAGCTGTGCACCGGGCAGCTCCAGAGCAGCAGCATAGAAAGAGGAAGAGAAAGAATGTAGCCCTGTTATGAGATGAGCCATGTCCTCTAAATTCCTAAACTCACAATCTCAGAATTTGATATTTGGAGATTGCTTTTAAAGAGGTGATTAAATGAAAATGAGATCCTTATGGACTATCTTACACCAATCTGATTGATGTCCCTATATAAAAGAAGGAAATCTGGACACATAGGGGAAGTGCATACACAGAGAAAAGACACGAGGACACAGTGAAAAGGTGGCAATCTGCAAACTAAGGAGAGAGGCTGCCAAAGAAACCAGACCTGTTGACAGTTTGGTCTTGGATGTTCAGCCTCTAGAACTGTGAGGAAATACATGTCTGTTATTTCAGTCAGACTGTCTTGTGGAGGACCACCTGGGGGGCTGTCCTTGAAGAAGGAGCAATTGTCTCCATTTTGGCTGAACCTGACCCTATTTCCATGTATTGATACGTACAGAGCTGGCTAGGACTTTTCCTTATCCCTTCAGTTGGCTTTAAGCAATGCATATTGATCCAGCTGAGGTGCTGCTGATAGTCTTTGAAGATGGCAGGTGTGCTTCCCCAGATGCTCCCCCCTGGTGTTCCCACATGTGAGCCGAAGAGGTGGAATGTGTGAGCCAATGCTCCACACTGTCGGCTGGGATCGTGCCTCAAGATAGAGGTTATGACTTCTTGAGGCTTGAAAGCTTACATATCAGAGAGGAAGAGCAGACCCCAGAACATTAGATACTATCTCAGTTGTGTTATGCAGATTACTTTTTCTGCATATCTCTCTCTGCATATGGCAGAGGTGACTTCAGGCCTCCTACCTAGCCCAGCTCATGGCACTCACCTACTTCCTCCCACTCTTACAGTCACTCATCCTCAAGCCACTCCCTTCTTCACAAATAAATAAAGTCCAGATTCAGTCCAAGGTAAAAGCCTGTGTCCCAGATAGCCATCACTGTGGCTAGACTCAGGACCCCCTTGATTCTTCACCATTTGGGATACATTATTGTGTCTTTACTTATCCTGTGGGTTACACTGGAAGTGGTAGATTGAAATTAACTCACTAGAATTCCAATAACCTTTCCATGCGATTACAAAGACAAACATCCTGGGCTGCTATGAGGACTGGGAAGGGCTCTCTAAACTGTCTGTAGCAATGCAAACAAAAAAGACAAAATACTAGAGATTCCAGTGGGGATGTGCAGGATGTCCTCAGTCAGAAGTAAGCAGATATGGGAACTTGCTGTGATACACTCATAATGTCCTACTTCAGACCTATACTCTTGAGCTCCAAACCCTATCTCTTCCTGCTTACTGGACATTTGCCCTTGGGTATAGAATAAACACCATAAACTTGGCC